CCTGTCTTCTACTCCTATCTACCCGGTGTCTGCTGCTCAATAAAAATTACACTATCGCCAAACAATCATTGTGTCGCTGGTCCAAATCAGGACGGTCATGATACCTCACAATGGCCTCACTAATTGTCGTTATAGCCCAGCTTACAGTGCTCACTCTCGTTAGTCGGATGGTTTACCTATGCTACTTCCATCCTCTGGCACCCTACCCAGGCCCATTTTGGGCCCGCTTCACGAACCTTTGGTACGTGTTCATCCAGTCATATCCTTTGCATATTACGGAAATCGTTGAGCTGACTAGTTGTGAGTAAAAGGCGGTTCTTCACGTTCGTGAGCGGCCAACTCCATCTTGCAGAACAGCAACTCCATCAGAAATATGGCCCTGTAGTCCGAGTGGCTCCGAACTGGCTCTCTTTCTCGAGTTTGGAAGACTTTGACGCTATCTATGGATTTAACAAGTCCGTCGAAAAGGGTGATTTCTATGCATTTGGACGAAGCCCCAGCCAGCGTGAGGCGAGTATATTCTCAACGAAATCGGAGACCATTCACCGCCAGAAAAAAAAGAAGGTTTTAGGGCCGGCTCTCTCGAGTTCAAAGGTAGGAAGGTATGAGCCTGTTATTGAAGAACATGTAGCAGTTCTACTGTCACGACTGGAGGCGTCCCGACACCCGACAGGAGAAGGAGTTTCAACTGCAAACGTGGCTCCCTTGGTAACCCGGTTCACCTTGGACACAATGTTGGAAATTCTGTTTGGCTCGGCTATAGCATCGAACCCTTATACTGATAGTGCTGCCGCCGGTGCCATATGCTCGCAGCTTCGCAAGATAACCAAGACAGCATGGAGCTACTCTCTTTGGCCAATGTACGGGTGGGTTATGAACAGCTGGATCATCAACTCCTTCTCTCGCGGCCTCTTATACAATAAAGATGGTGCACAGACTGGAATGGCGGGGCTCGCGGCTGCCGTCCACAGGGCAATCATGCGAAATCCCCAACATGTCATTCAATCTCCAAAGCCTGGGATTGTGAAAAGTTGGCTTGAAGTACCCGTTGACGATGCGAATCATATGAGAGAACCTGAGGTCCTAGCTGAAGCTATGAATATGATCTTCGCGGGCCCCGGGAGCATGGCGGCCGCGCTCACGGCTATAATACACCATCTGGGATCGGAAGAAGGACAGGGCTGGCAGGTTAAAATTCGCAGGAAGGCAGCAGTCTCTAGTCAGAGCATAACGGCTGCCACGATCCCCATCGAATTGCAGGCTGTGATAAAAGAGACGATGCGTTTCCAAGGAGTCTTTCCAACAGCATTTCCTCGTGTAATCAAGTCGGGTGCTGAAGGAGTCATTCCCAGCCTGTCAACACCGCTACCGGTCGGCACTACAGTGTCTGCGAACACCTATGTCTTGGGTCGGTCTCGCGAGATCTGGGGAGATGATGTCGATCAATGGATACCAGAGCGATGGACTGGAGATGCTGAACACAGGCGGCAGATGGAAACAAAGTTCGTAGTTTTTAGCAAGGGTCCGCGAGGCTGCGTTGGGAAGGATCTGGCACTGATCATACTAGCCAAATCGGTGATGGGACTCATTCTACAATGGCAGATCAGAAGCGTGGGCAGTCTGCGAGGAAAGAGCTGGCTGGAAATGCAGTATGACGATTGTTGGCTGGAACTCAGACCATTGTCCACAGCGCCGTAAATGGTTGCCGGTGATGACTCGGTCGGCGCGTCGGGATCCCCTTTTGGAAGAGTCGGGATCCCGTTTAGGAACCGACAATGATCCATCATGGCATTTTATCGGACTGGGCTCTCTAATGGTCCATTCAATTCATTACAATTGCCTTGAACGCTTCGCCGTCAAGATTTCTGCCTGAGTCACGGGGTCCCACAAGTGGCTATTTATATGGAGCATATCGCTCTTGCTCCGTGCCGATCATCTTCAGTCGATCGATCCCATATTTCACCTCCCTAACAAGATTTTGCTCCCAATTATCTGACAGAGTCTTGAGATCTTTAAAGAACTTACTTCTCCTGAACTGGTCTCTATTCTTTACCTACCTACCCTTCGCCTGCTGCTACGTCGTCACTACCAAGTTTGGACTATTCTCTTCTCGGCCTCCCGTAAAGCACCCTCACCACCGCGCTTTCGAAGAAATGTTGTCTGGCGGGGCTCTTCCCCAGACACTGGGTTCGATCACTGCAACTAAGATTAATGAACTCTCCAAACAACGAACACTTTTCGAGAAGAGAAGAGCAGAGATTGTACAAGCTGCTGAGGATGCTCACAGTCTACGATCAAAGGCCCAGGTTCTCCTGGAAGGTGTGACCAGGCTCAAGGGATTCCCCAATGATGCACTTGACCAAGAGGATCTAGACACAGATAGTTCATCTAATGAAGAATCTGCCGTTGAAGATCAGACTGAGCGCGCTATTCACGCTAATATTCGTCGCTTCCTTCTGCAGAGCAAGTATGATCCTTCTGTCTCAGACCGCAGCCTGAAAAGTTGGATTTCCCAGCTCGAACAGGAGCTTAGCTACCTCGAGCTAAGGCATAAGCATGCCGACTTCTATAGCGAGCTAGTCACGGAATGGCTGCGTGACTTCGAAGAGGTGGCTGCTTCTAGCTCGGCTTCGAACGAGGACGGGTCGCAAGGAATGGCTTTCGAGAATGTTGGTCGGTCAGAAATGCACGAACAGCGAGCCACATGGGAGTCTCTGGTCTTCACAGAGACAGATGTAGATGGAAGTGCCATCAAAGCATACCTTGACGGTCTTTTCCAAGCAACAACACCCTCACAGCAAGCATTGAAGCAACTGCGGGACGCAGTCAGAACCTTTGGCACTGACTTTGCCTCGAAGAAATCTTGGCTTGAGGTCGCTGACCTCAAGTGGGTGTCGGAATCATTGCTGAAGTCCGATTTGCTCACCAAAGAGAAGATGGCCGTTCTGAAGGAGTTCATGCGCAACCCGGCAGTTGCCCAGGAGGTGGTAGATGTTCTCAATATGCGCCTGGCTTCTCTTGACAACTGGAGCTGGCCTGCAGAGGGTATCCCAGTGGAGATGCGTCGCCAGCTGAATGGCAAATACCGGGTATATATGGACGAAGATCTGCTGGACAGCCTCATGTTCGAATACCTGGGGATGAAATGGTCAGTTACATTTCGATCTGCCTTCAACTCGTTTCTTGACACACCAGCTTGGAAATTCCTTCGGGAACGAATCCCCAGGCGCGAAATGTCTCGCCGTTCTCGATTCACGGGGACGAACGCCAAACGCCTTGGTACAACGAGTGTAAACGATCGCCGAAAGGAAACGTACAAACAAGACTACTTTATGAGCCTTCTACCTTCCTCGGTGGACGCGAATATGGACCCATATGGCGAGGATGCGGAGCCTGATAACGCAAAAAGGAACCCACTGGAAACGAAGCACTCACTGCTACATCTTCTGATCAGCGAATCCCTCCTATACACCTCGTTGCACGGCCAATTCACTGCTATTAGATCTGATTTCAGATGGTTTGGACCCTTTCTCTCACACACTACCATACTGGTGGTATTGGAGTATTTTGGTGTTCCACGACTCTGGCTGGACTTTTTCCACAAGTTCCTAAAAACTCCGGTAACTTTTGCACAAGACGGATCAGGTGCCTCCAAGCGAACTCGGAGCCGAGGAATACCCATGAGCCATGCCCTTTCCACTTGTTTTGGGGAGGCAGTTTTGTTCTGCATGGACTTTGCGGTGAACCAAAGCACAGACGGGGCTTATCTATATCGGCTGCATGATGACTTTTGGTTCTGGGGTCACGAAGAGACTTGTGTCAAAGCCTGGACTACAATGGAAACATTCACCAAGGTCATGGGCCTAGAGATAAACGAGGAAAAAACGGGAACAGTGCGCCTGAAGGCAAAAGACGTGGCAGACCATCATGAGCAGCCATCTGACTCTCAGGAAAAGGAAGCGTCAGACCCCCTGCCTGAAGGAGATATTCGCTGGGGATTCCTGAAGCTGGATCCTTCAGAAGGTCGTTTTGTCATTGATCAAGAACAGGTCGACAGCCACATTGCGGAGCTACAGCGCCAGCTCTCATCCTGCAAGAGCGTCTTCTCATGGGTCCAGGCATGGAACAGTTACTTTGGACGGTTCTTCGCCAACAACTTTGCGAAACCAGCCATGTGCTTTGGGAGAAGCCATATAGATATGGCTATATCCACACTGAGTCGTATTGAACGAACTTTATTCCCCGGAACCTCCAGCGGGGTGACCGACTACCTGCGCCAAGTGATCGCAGAACGATTTGGTGTTAAGGACCTCCCAGAAGGGTTTTTCTACTTTCCTGTAGAATTCGGTGGGCTGGAGCTCCTGAATCCTTATATCCCTTTCCTCGCAATGCGCGAGAACATCAAAGCAACGCCTAAAGGTCGGCTGCATAAGGCCTTCATGCAATACGAAGTCGAGTACCATGATTGCAAGCGGCGATTTGACGAAGGGACTTCTGCTGAGCAATCTACTTCTCTGGGAACTGAACTGGACGACGACGTGGCTGATATGACTCTGGAGGAATACACCCGATACTCGGAAACTTATAGCCGTCCACTTTTGGAGGCATACACGGAGCTGATCCGTGTGCCTAAGGAGATCAGCATCAATCTGACGCCAGAACTGCACCGAAACCAGATGTCTCTGGACGCGAGCGTTACTAATGAGACCAATGGTCGCAACACGATCTCGGATATGTGGTATAGTATGTCAGCATATTGGCAGTGGACGGCAGAGTTGTATCAGGAAGAGATGGTAAAGACTTACGGAAATTTAGCAGCTGTGAATAGGGAGTCTATGCCCCTGGGAGTGGTCAAGACGCTAAAGGAAGGCAAGTTCAGATGGCAAAGCTGATCATGAGGGTGGACTTGCTTATATCTGTATATTGTTTCTTGCTGATATACTCCCTTTTCCAAGGAAGCTTTGTGTACATGAATGAAGATTAATAATTTCGATCAGCGGCTATGTGCTGTAATGTGCCTCGAAGTCAGATAGTAGACGTCGAAGACGGTCTTTCTCCTTTTCGCCTCCGAAGATAGCATCGTAGGATTTTCTGCAGATGCCCAGCACATCGGTCCGCGTGAGTTGAAAGTGCTCTGCAGCTAACAGATACTCATTCGATACGGGACTGCAGAAAAACCCTACATCGTCGGTCTGCACCAGTATCAGTTGACGATTCGTGTAAGAGAATGAGGGTGATGAGGAAAAATGATAGTAGCAGAGACTTACGCAAAGCACAATCGGGCAATTCTGATGTCTCCAATACCCGAAATGATGATCCAAAAAGCCACCATCAAACATCTTTGCGTGCACATTACACGACATGCACAATTCAAGTCCCAATTGCCTCCTTGCAATCTCCCGTTTCAGCTCTTCAGGCACATGAATCACATGGCCCAGCCGGTCCGGCTGAAACTCCAAGAGTGTCTCCAATTCTCCAGGCGTTGCCGCCTCCCTCATTTCGGCGAAATGCACAGTCACGCCTAGTCCGTTAGCTTTGGCTTTCGCAAACGCCTCCCGTAGCACTGAAACATCACCCTTGGTTGGGTTGCCGCAGACATCAATGCCCACGATACCGCGGGCGCGGTGGGCTAGTGCCAAGTCTACAATTTCCAGGGCCTCAGCAGTAGTGTGATGGCCCCTGTCCAAAGCTAGAATCAGATATACAGACATCTTCGGGGAAGTGGGGGATTGGTTGGCCTGAAAATCCGAGATTGCATCAAGAACGGTAGTAAGGTATTCCTCCCGGGTGAAGGAGGAGGAGGGGGATGCACGGGGAATGGTGCGGAGTTCAAGGTAAGTTACGCCGTCGTTTTGAAAGTCGGTTAGCACGGAATGGGTGGCGTAGGTGAGGCTGGCAAGATCATTGACCAGATTGTAGATTGATTTGTTGAAGGAGTGGAAAAATCTGGAAATTAAAGGTTGGTGGGGAGCGTCTTCAATGCATGTATGAGAGTGGAGGGACTACCCACGTTTGCAGGGAATAATCTACCTTCCCAGGCGGCATGGTTATCCATGGATCTTCTATGTTGAAGTCAGGGTCTTGGGCCTTCTTCTTGAGCCAGATCTCATGGAGACATTGGCGGCTGATACTGCCGCTGAGGTGGGCATGGAGCTGTGGGACAACACACATTAGTGAACAACCTTGATTCTGTTTCTTTCCTAGTGCTGGAGAGTCGTTCTATTCCATTGAAAGGTGTTTGCATGGGGTATGTACTTGCCTCGATCTTGGGGAGGGATTGGGTGAAGGCACGATCGACCGCTTTCGAAAGGTCCATAGTCGATCTTGGTCAGGTGTCTATTGTACACGAACTTGAGGATGTAGATCTATGTGACTAAGTGACTGTCCGTCTATCTTGTTGAATCTGATTGATGGATGGAGGTGGAAGTTGGGAAGAAGGAGGGGGAGTGCAAGTGGGATGGAACGAGTTGGCGATTTCAGTTAGTTGGGGAAAGAGCAGGTGACTTTTGCTGCACTCGTGGTTGCCCAAGGCGCCGTTCTTGACTTGTTGCCAGTCTACGCCCACTGTCGACCATCTTGAGGCTATGAGTAACAGATTGAAACAATATGCCTTCTGATTCGAAGAGATGAGGGTTTACCCATCAATACAAAAACTGTCTATTGGCCCTACGCCGCCGTGACTGAACCAATGACCACTTCCGACTACCGCTCAGGCTAACTATATCTTGTTTGTAAACCAGGAAATTGCACACAGCACACAGCACACATGCTGCAAGTGCGCTCCATCCGCTATTTCAAATCAGGTCTCTCAGTCGCTCAACGCATACAAGCTCCACATGGTGCCTAGAGCCTCAAATTAAAACACGGCATATAAACGAGATTCAAGATCCAGCGCACGGCCGTCCTCCCGAGACCGAGCACTTCCGACACGGGTCTCTGACGTGTCAAGACTCGAAACTCTTTCAATCCGATTAGTCCATTGAAACAATCCGACAAGGAGATACGGACAACAATAAGCCGTATGGCGTCAGTCGTTGACTCGGTTTAGGATAGGTTTGGGTCATGGGGGTCCTCCGAGGAGCCGTGTGATCCCGCTACCTACGAAAACATTTCGTGTCCATCGTCATGAGCTAACCTTCGCGCCGGATAGACCGATGTCGTCTATAAGGCTTGCAATAAGCAAGGATCCCACCAAGTACTTTTTATGAACCTCGTTCGATTCGTGCTCACACCCTATGGCATGTTCCATGGCCCTCTATGGGTGTCAGGCGTCTGTACCACCATCAGGCGATTAGCCAGTTGATTTTGCTAGTATTTCTCGCCGATCTGATTTGCGACAGAATTGGTTGCCAGTGGCTTGTGTTACCAGGCCCACTGATAGCGTATGCCTCACACATTTCCGATCAGCGCGACTGATTGTTGCGTGGTTCTAGCGGGCATTATCGTGATGCTCGTAGCCTTGTAAGTGCCCCTCAACGGGAGATATAGAGTTTCTGGCATCGTCTTAGCTGGTGATATCCAGCCCTTTTTGACACTGGCTACCTCCCAAGAAGCTGCATATATATGCTTCCATATTCAAGTTTCGTATAGATTGAGGCCCTGTGAATCCGTATAACGTATCATTAATTCAAGTGGAGATTCGCGGCAAATGAACAGCCTTGCAATCAAACCGGTCCCGGGAAGCATTGCCGTTGAGCGTGAAAGGGACCCAAATAAAAAATACGCCTTCACAAGTGGCGCGACACTTGTCAAAGAGGCACAAAATCCCATGTAAATTAGAGTCAAACTGCCGTGATACAAAGCGAGAACAGACATAGCAAGGCAGAAACCGTCTCTATTTGATACGCCACGCAAGCACTTCGGCTTACTGCCCCCAATCAAACCCCGTAGCTCTAGCAAACAACGGCTTGCGCTCAAAGGGAAATTATAGACATTAACGGGAGTGACACGTGTCGCGAGGCAGTTCCTTACGCTAAAGTAGCACTTGAAGACTATGCATTCACCGGCGCAGGAAGGTCAGGCTACCTGCATACGCAGCATCCAGTGACAGGGAGAGTCTTTGTGGTACGCACCGATGGCTGCAGTAGTAGCACAGGGCAAACCGGAGCCCAATCTGATAACGGCAAGGGCGGCCGGCGACGCCGGGTGAGTTTTGTTCTTATTGGAGTGGCAGCATATGCTGGATCGGGAATCGTCCCACCTAGGGCCTGTCTGGGGTCGTTCGCTTGAGAGTTTGACCACGGTAAGCTGGATTCGAGTGAGAATCTGCGAAGCGGAAACAACCGGCTTTGCAAGAGACCGTACTAATCGTGTATCTGGCCTGTATTTTGTATCTCCACGGAAAAGGCAGACCCGCAGCTCAGTTTCGCCTCCGTCACGGTTCTCTGTAGGCTTGTATCGTCTGGCCCGGTTCTCGAAGGATTCGAGAAACCCATATACAGACGGCTGGTCCAATGGAAAATTGGTGGATAGTGGGAACACGGAATAGCTGTCTCCAGTTTTATTTTTAGCCGATGATCCAGCTTAGGGCCAGGAAACAACGATGGTTGTGTGCTGTGAGTCAATGAGATGCTTTCAATAACCCTTAATAACTGAAACTAATTCACTGACTAGTTAGTGAACCCTGAGTGGGTCACGATCCCGAGGCGAGTGCTTGCCCTTGACATAACGTCATCAGTGCCATACTGAAGTTCAATTCAAAATTATGAAGGCTGTTCGCTGTTGAAGATTGCGATATATTAATGACTATTCTGCCAATGAGTACTTTTATGGGAGAGCCATCAAAAGACATCAATGTTATGGGTGGGGTTCGCCGGCCTTGTCCGTTTGGGATAGGTTTCGCAACTAAGGACAACCGGAACATTACGAACCTTGACAGCGTCTTTGCAATCCATGAAATATACTGTCGGTGGAGCGTCCTGAGGTCAATCAGGTCGATGATGTGAGAACCCAGTGGGTGCTTGAGCGAAGGAGAATATTTCCATTGAATCTCTTCGGTGCCCAGTTCTTAGTCAAGTCAGGTTGGTCCCGAACAAAACCGCATTAGTTGTTGTAGGCAAACGTATCCAAGTAATATGTATGAACGACCCCATGAAAGGATCGATTTACAAAAGGTGAGTAAGACGATTTGATTCGTCAGTCAACACATATTGTGCTTACGAGACCTCCGAACTTCGAGACAAGTCATTCTGATTCTACTGTCAGTTCTTTTCAATTCAGAAAGCGGACTCCATGTGCAATTTCCTGCTCGACCTACTTGTTCAGTCTGCTAGGGTTAGCTTCCCTTAGCTGATGTGCCGACAGCATAGGCTTTCACTAACAGTGCTCATGATCGCCATGTCGTGTTGGAAAGCAGAATGCGAGAGTCCAAGGAGGAGTATGACTGGCAAGCAAGAGCAGTACTTTAGAGTCGTCACCCCCCGTAAAAGAAAACAAATAAACAAATTCAACTTCACCGAAGCATTGGGCTCACCGAGGAGTTTAAGGTGAGTCAGGGATTAGGTGGGACGCCTATTTTTCTGATCTTGAGCGTCTGGTTTCCAGTGACGGTGATCAGACATCTGCATACATCCATAATATCACTACAAAGCAATCAGTATTTCATATGGGATGCTCCCTCCTGGAAGTGCTATAGGGCCTTGTTGCGGGGGTGCCTGGAATTGTAAGATCTGCCTCTGTATATCGCACACGAATGCGAAACAAAACAGGAACGTCTATATTGTTCAGTAACTATGCAAAGCGACCCTCTGCAATTATTGATGCGGTTCATCTCATACACGAAGGCCATGCTGTCCCGCGTGTATTTGAGAGGTATAGAGGAGTAACAGTGTGATCTCATGATTGAATAGCCATGGTCGTCAAGTGCAAACTGTGAGGTCGCGGCAGTATCAGAGACACAATCGACTCAGTCGAGCAAGACCATTCAGGTGACCGAAATGATATTTTGATACACCGTCCCTGGTCCCAATATCTGGATTATCGCGATGAATTGACACAACAGATAGTAAAGTACCTAGTAGAAGTTAGCAGTTGGGGCTAAGCCCGTTTGGTAGTAGTCCTCCAAGCCATTGAATTCAGATTTCCGGTCAAACAAGTCTGTTGGTTGAGAAGTCGTATTGCCACTGCAGTGGGCCGAATCGGCCGATGCCATTAGTAGTAGCCTCAATCTGGGGCCAGGGACCTGGACCAGGGTCTTCTTTAGCACTATGCAAGAATAATTGTTGCCCCAACCCACTTGACCCGGGTATTTTGTACGACACGTAGATTACCGGGCAAGATCCTCTGTCATTCGAATCGAGTGTGCCAAGTCAGAATGTCTCAGAAATGATTGGGGTCCGGTCCGGCTAAAAGAAGTTGTGTCGGTAGCCTATGTCACAAGCGATGATTCTAACTTTCTCCCCAGACGCAGGACTGTACCCGCTGCTGGTATGCCTAAGCGACGGGAGTCAGACCTGGTGCATCAAGACAGCCAACAAGAACTATATCCCAATGCGGTGCTGATACGCTCAGTGGCTAAGATTTGGGGAGAAAAGGACGGAGGAGAAAGAGAAGAAGAAACCAAACTATCGACAGTCACGAGGCTTCATAATCGATACTGAATGGAAATGGCAGTCGAGGGAGGGCCTTTGCCCGTGCGTGCTGCATAGTCAATTGGAAGGACTCATTCGACTATCAGCAAGCCACAACACGTTATCTGGCTGGTTGGCTGGCTGATAGGAAGGATTATCCATAGCAGAGTCGGATAGCGGCATTGTTGGGATCAAGACCGAGGCGTTGGCCGAATGACACCATGCAGCATGCGCCGTGCGACCGGGGATTGGAAAGACCGAAGAAGGTCGAAGCATCGAAGACGCATCGAAGGAACAGGCTCGACGAGGCTCAGCTCAGACGGTTTCCACTCCTACAGAAAGTAGAGTAGTTGCATCTTACCCCCTCTATCGCTAACTACTTGTTAGTATAGCCCTGCCTGCCCCCCAATAGCTACAAGGATGGCCGCACAGGATATGCAGCCTCGTTCTACAGGTGTTTTGGGGCAGGCGACAGGTTTATTAACTTTAGAGTTTCAGGGAAAAAATAGAAAAGAGGCCGAAGACGGATTAAGGTACGGCAAGACTCACTATGCCAAAGTCAAAATGCTCAAGGTACTGTGGTTGTTACTAATGATGATGATGCTCTATGTAATAGATTGTATTTTGAGTGTATGGGAGCTCGTAACGAGCAGCAGTATTTTTCAATAAAAAGCGGTAATACCAGCATCATCTGTTAATAACCAGCCACGGAAATCATTACGGCACATCATGGCAAGACCCCGGTATAGGGGGCGCAACGTTCCACTCAGTTGGGAACGGCTCTCTCGGCCGCCTTCTCTTTGAACTTCAGGACAGACATTGACGTTAGTTACTTTGGGTGCCCAGTCTAAATACTGCAGCCGGCCACAGCAACCGAAAACCTTACCACACTTCCAACGTGATAGATAACATGGATGACAGGTAACGAGTTCTCCTCTGAATAAAACCAACGATGAATATTTTGCAAAACGCTCTTCGGGCTTCCTCAGTGCTACTATAAATGTGATAATATCTTCATGACATATTGTACCATAGAATAAGAAGGTTTAGACGAGGTCCCTTAGGGTTCTGGCAGAAGGACGTAAAAGGAGAGGAAAATTAACAAGGGACCTCTGGTCTGACGATATGAATCGCGGGCTATGGATGGGACATGCCCTTCCCGTAGGATGAGTAGGGCAACGGGTATGAATAATTCAGTACAAACGAGCCATAACTAATACCTGTACGATAAAGAAACCCTGATACGAGGCATACTGTAGCACCGGCAAGGCGGAAACATGATCAGCCCTTGAAATTCTCATTTGACTCTGTGTTTCAATCACCGCTCAGCTTCTTTTCTTGTCTTTTTCTTTATTTTTTAAGAATTTCCTCAAGAAGTTACAAGTGTATATCTCAGAATTGCTTATAACATTGAGCTCCTGCGCCTTTATCCCCCTTATTTGACCGACTCGGTAAATCTGTTCTGGCGCACGTCTCCGACTAGCCGTCAGTACTATGATGTCATCGTTTCACCCGATTCTTTGCGTAAAGTAAAGAATCTGACCAGTGACAAATTGTAGCGTATTTACTGTGCTGCTCCCTCATTAGTATTAGTAAGGATCTACGAAGTAATATGTGCACAGATGCTTTGATTTTCAGTCAAGGCTCTAAGAGGATCGCATTACATCAACTAGATCCTGCTTTTGGTGTAAAGGGGGGTTTAGGGAGGCTACTAGTCGGTCACTACTCGACATCGTGATAATAACCACACATCCTTTGTTAGTACGGCTGAAAACGGCCACCATACCCTCCAGTCTAGTGCAGTAAAACATGAGCATAAGGGGTAGCAAGGGTCACTTCACACTGCATCAGCAGCCTGTGTGATCGTAGCAAGGAGTTCTCGGGTGCGAGATCCTGAGCGAAAGGAAACCGCAATCGAAGGCTTGGAAGCCTGTCAAGAGTGGGTCGCCGTTTGGAAACAGCCCCACGAGGCAGTGATTTTACCCAATCACAGTGACTTCTTGGCATCATCCCTGTGAAGTTGGTTGCCCAGTAGGTATGATTCTTTACCCCCCCTCCCTCCCCGGCCAGTTGCCGAGTTTGCCTTCTTGGACAGAAAGCAGTTTGCATGGACTAGTCACTAGTAAGTACTACGTCAAGGTATAGTAGCAGTGTTAAACTACCAAAGTCATGACTTGGCGGCACGTATTTGAAGGCTCAATTTCGGATGTTAGCAATGGTTGTCCGGTACCCCTGTCGCTGCATAAGTACGCAAAAATAAGTATGCCTTTCATAGAGAATTATGTGCAGTGCGACTGCCTGAATGTAAGTAATTGCTAATCATGCGCAAGCACGGAAACACCGCTGGCTACAAGCGGGTAACCTTTCTTTTCCACCATCATTTCTTCTTGGAGTGTGGGACCTTCGTTTGGCAAGCAGAGGTGGAGCATCGTACCTTCTGGCAGTTAATAAATTCAGGTAGTATCTAGGAAGTAATAAGTAGTGGTTGACAGTCTGGCATGCGATAATGTTTCTTATGAACCAATAATATCTCCATGAGGTCTGCACGTGTGAACACATGAGCACTCACCCCACCTTCAACCGCATTTAGCACCCAACTTGCAGTACCTACTCAATAAAATTAGGTTAGAGCGCTGGACATGAAATATGTAGTAATACAAAATCAGCACTAGTCAGCATGCTGTTCTGTCTGGCTAATGATTGTAGATAGTTAGCTTCCTAGGTGATACCCTGAAGTCGTACTTTTCCCTCTATGACCTGCAAACACAAACAAGGAATGAATCTTAAGTAGCAGAGGAACTGGAAAAGAAGTTCTAATTCACAAGTATGAGGATATGTGTGACTACTATAATACGTGCGTGGGCAGTCAAACAGTCCAGAGTAGTCAGTAAACATACATTTGAAGGAATACATAGCCCAGTCTCATATCTCTGGCAGCTGTCAACTAACTTGACTAATCCAATCCCCTCCTTCACCGGCTTCCGTTCAATGCGTCATTTTTCGCGCCATGAACTAACTCATCCCCCGCTATGGATCGTCAAGTTGATAGACACCGCCAGCTTGATTGAATTCCATGTTTCAGCCCAGTCGGTGGTGATTGCCTGATCCATAGGCATCTAGTTGAGAAGGAAACCCAGGGAAGAGGAAGCGGTCAGAATCATCAATGCACGCGAGACGGCGATAACCTAAAGCATGGGTCATCTTTCAGCTTCCCCTCTTTCTGATCAGCAGCATCGGCGTCTGCAAACGGGAGGGTCTTGGATTTTAATACAGCCCACTAACTGCCTATTGTATGTGCATGCATACAGAATGCACCATGATGGGTTGAATATCTTCCAAGCACGCACTGCAGTTACTCAGCTACCTAATCAGACGCTACTCTGAGAAAGTTGCAATCTCCCCTTATCAAGAAAGTTCAGCGCCCTTTCGCGGCTATCTTTGCATGATTGGGGTAGCCTATGAACTTTGCTGATTATCAAGGGCGCATACCACCTTGCGTCGTCAGCTGGAAACCGTTCGTTTGAAACTGATTAGGTGTCCCGTGATCA